CAGGGCCAATGTTCTTACTCGTGAACTTAGAGTTTGTGTCAGTGAATAAGACCATCCCAAAGACAACACAAAATGAGAAAAGACATACACGAGAAAGAAGCTGTTTTTTCTAAGATCCGAAAACAAAACATGCTTCCCACTATGTGCTCTAAGAACAACAAGAACCGCAAACAGTTTAAACTTGGTGCCTGAAACAAAACAACAGCAAACAGGAGGGAAACCCGAAAATAAAAGTAAATATTTCTAATAGAGACCGTTATCTCCTTTCAAGATCAGTTTACTCCAAGAACCTGACATTCCTCATTAATACTGTGCCATATTATCATCATGGACAGTGCATTAACATCAGGGTTTATTATTGGAACCCAAAATGCACAAGAATCAACGCTGAAGAAATAGTTGATTCCGTCTTGGTGAAAATCATGTGCTGATTTTATTACCTTACCGTTATGAGCTATAGGGCAGGTGAGGTCGCAATCATCTATAGGAATGTGCTGGAAGCATAATGAATGTCCGTATGGAACCGGCGAGAAGGTGGTTGGAGGTCGCCACTGGTAGGTCCTACTTCTTTACTTTCTCTCTGCTGTTTCTGACTGTGTGTTTGTCTTACTTTTTCCCAGTACTGAATGGCCTTCATTGTGTCAGCGTGCTCAAAACAAACAAACAAATAAAACACTCAAACAAACAAACCGGCGGAGATAGAGAAGACACATAATGAATCATTGGAGCGGACTCTAAACTCCTATTTGCGAGTACTGTATTTAAAAGACCCACAGCAAGCTTAATAAATCTACCAAAATGAAATGCTCACTTTATACCTGAATTATGAACCCTTTCAAAATTTGAAATCATTAGAAAAGGTAAATCCGTTGTGCTTGGAGATTTTAATAATACTTTCATTATGACTCAAAGTCTCCCAGCGAAGTGAAAGATATGAATGAAATTAGAGATGTGTAGCATTGCGGTAAGATCATCAGTCGATCGTCCAAGTTATGAAATCGAAGGAACCGACTTTTTAAAATTCGTCTGTTAAGAAATTTCTACCCTTTTTTAAAATTACTTTTTTGGGATCAACACCTTTTGTGTCAATTTACAATTGATTTATGTGTGGATTTTACTGACAAACGTTCACCAAAGGCACCAGCATACAAATTTACAGTTTCCAAAGGCTCTCAAGCTCAGAAGTCACCAAACTTTGACAGCCATTTTTTCACCATTTTTTCACTAATATTTTTCCTCTGACATTTGGTAATACCCACCCCTTTTAATCTAAAATATCTCAATTTATTTAAGATAAATGGGTATTTTTTCCGTCAAAAGCAAAATGAATGAACAAACTTTAAAACGATACCAATAACCACACATGCTAAAACATTAACGAGCTTCAGATTCTACCACATCGCGCCACATAATCTTCGGATCTGTTCGGATCGGATCTCTTCGATCGGATCTGTTCGGATCGGAATGTTTCGGTTCGATTTAGTTTCTGGCGGCTTCAGTACACACTATAACTAGACCCTAGCATCAAACCGATCGCCTGGCTCGTTGCCTTGAACACAAAAACGTTTGTTTTTTAAGGTCATCGTCGGTTTCGCTCGGTTTGTGCAACGATGGTAACTTTCCTCCTTCCCCCCACCCCCCACCCACCCAATGGAGGAAAACCAGGCTAGCCCCGACGACTAAACCGAACCGAACTGAACGGAACCGATCTTGCCTATGAGCAACGGATATAACACATCTGTCTGGGTCATTGTAACAGTCTGACACCAAGTCACGGCGACACCACCTCAAGGCAGATAAGGGTTCTGAACAAACTGACCTCTGACCACCACATATTCTTTTGGAGCTAACCATTTCCAAACCAAAACCGAAGAGTCTAAGAAAACAATTTTTTTTTAAAAATCTGGAAAAGATCAACTTGATAAAATGCAAGTCTAATATCGAAACTTCTATGACAATCCTGAAGGAAGTCAGCCGTGGCTGCTTGAGCAAAACAGTATCAGAGTTACTCAACACCCACTACTGGTTGTTAAAAAAAGCATCACGAAGAGACCTTAGCCACCAGTGTACACTCTGAAGGCAGCGAAGACGTTTTCACCATGAGCAACACCATGCGCCCAAATGATCGGCAAAACACAACCCTTGCTGCTGTTGAGTTCACACAGCACCTGCACCCCCAAAAAAAAACAAAAAACAACCTTTTTCCCCCTTCATTTTGCTCAATTTTGATTCTCTCCAAAGAGAACCGGAAATACATTAGGGTGCGCAATCTTGGATATTATTATACAAGTCTATGCGCTGACGTCACTACGAAGGCCCCTCCCACTGGCTAATGTAAAAACGTTTATAGGGGAAAAGAGTCCACGCAGTATGCCCTACTTCTTCTATGAGCATTATGTTAATTGTCAATGCACTGGCATGATTCTTCTCTGAGACCCTAAACTTGTTTGTCTGTCTTTTTATTTATTTATTTATTTTGCTTGCCTGTTTGCTTCGCTTTTAGATTGTCTACTGGCTTCATTGTTGCTTTTCTTATATTATTATGAAAATTAAATGACCTTGCATACACGAGGGTACTCGGATGCTTATCCTAAGGAAGTGTGAAGTTGGCAAAAAATATATATACAAGGAGGAAGAGAAGCTAGACACCTTGTTAGCTACCCCTACATGTTGCTAGTTACCAGTACGGCAAAGAGAGGGAAATAAAGGAGAGAACAGAATAGCTCGGAACTTGCAATGATCACAAACACTCCAGCTCGCCGCAGACGGCGGCGTCTTTTCCTTTCCTTAAGTGTTGCTCTTATCCGTCTGAACATAATAGTAATAATAATATGGTTTGTTGGTTTAACCTTCTTATGGCTTCACGTGTGACCTTCAAGTGATGTCCTTTTTTTTTTCTTCGAAAAAACATTTTATAAACACAGCACTTGTGATCTGTTGGGTTAGGGTTCATATCAGGATTTGATTATTTTGAATTTATTGTTTCTCTGGTTGCTTCTGTTTTACCGACTTTATTTTCTCCAAGGTCTTGCTGCCGCATGTCACATCTTTACGCCACTTTCATAGGTCGAGACAGAGGGATTTTTTTCATCCGCATCAACAGAGCATTCTTCCCTGAAGAGTCGTCTTTATATTTGTATAGGCATTTTTTTCTTTTCTTTTGGAAAATGGGGGGGAGGGGGGGGGGCCAATATGTCGCCTTCCTTATATCAATTCCGAGTAGAAAATGGCTTTGGGGGTCCTTGTGCTTGGCAGTCGGACCAAGTCAGTGTCCTCCCATCTGTGCTAGATTTTCTTCAGGTGACAAAAAGGTACAAGCTTTCGACGTCTAGATAAATTCATTGGTTGGGATTTTGACCCTCCAGTGAACTCCAAGTACTATTCTCAAACAGGAGAGATGGAACTTGTTGAGCTTGTTAGCATGTGTTTTGATAACAGACTAGCGCCTTTACCTTCCCTTATGTGGTGTGCTTATCTGTCGGAACATGATAATAATATGGTTTGCTGGTTTAACTTTCTTATGGCTTAACTTGTGACCTTCAAGAGATATCCTTTTTTAGAAGAGCTTTACATATACACCGCACTTGTGATCTGTTGGGTTAGGGTTCATATTAGGATTTGATTGTTTTGATTTTTTTGCTTGTCTGGTTTCCTCTGTTTTACTGACTCCAAACAAAAGAATGTAATACGACAGCGCATGTAAGCCCTAAATACTGAGATTTTGGACTTTCTATATATACCGGAGACGTCTCAAACTCTATGTTTCGGTCTATTAAATGCAGAGTTAGCTTGTCCTCAAGGCAACCTCAGCATCAGTCAGGGTATAAGTAATTTTTATTAATCTGTGTATGTTACACATGTATATATTTTGATGTTAAATGTAAAGTTGTTCCTGCATCCCGATTCGGATTTTGGGGATTGCCTTGTAAGTGAGATAACTTTCTGGGCCTTCGGCATATTGTGGTAGGCTGGCCAGTTCCTTTCCACACCGCCTTTACTCAACTCGAAGTCAGGTACTCATCGCTGCTGGGTGGGCAGGAGGGGGCGAAAAAAGTCTGTGTCCGAACCGAGGCTCGAACCCGGACTTTCCGCTTCGAAGACGAGCGAACTATCCGCTCCGCCATCGCACCGTATATAGAACACACAGCACCATTGCTTTCACAACTACATTGGCTCCCTGTTAAAGACCGTATTTATTACAAAGCTGCAGTAATATTTGCTATGAATGTTTAAACGATTTGGCACCACAATAATTTAAAAAGAATTATGCATCAAAGGTTCATGATGAACAATACTTTATAACGGAGGAAAAAAATCCATTCTCATAAAACTGGATTTTGAACAGAACTGAAAGAATGCACTTCGCTGTAACTCACTTGGTTACCGGAATAGACAAACTTGCCGAGGCTTGTCGTGGGAATCTGTAAGGGGCCAAAATTGTTTTCTCGTTTGATTTTATTTTCTGCACAGCATCGTGACCCGGAACAACGAAAGTGCTGGGTCTTCATTTTCTGTCTTTTGTCATAATTTTTTTTCTTTCTGGTATAACTGCTGCACCCGGGATGCTAGTTACCCATCTGTGCCGGCACTTGAACCCTTGTACCACAAGTAGGCTACCTTACGGCCTAGACATGACCTGACACACTTAGTTAATCTCAACCTACCGGTTTCTGTGGTGTAGAGGTTTAGCGCTTCGCTGTAGCTTGCGTGGGGCCAAACTTGGAGGAACTGTTACTCCAAGGGGCCAAAGTTTGGTTTCGGAGTGGGAAGATAATTGTTATCAAGTATCTCAGTCTATCTACTGGGAAGATGTGTCTCTCTCAAACCTGGTTGGTTCTGACAGGCCGCAGTGTCGGAAACCTACCTCCTGATTAATCTAAATTGTGTCTATGGGGGCGTAAAAACACCAACGTTAAAACAATCTGACCATATTGGGGCGTTCTTTTCTATGTTTTCATAACATTAAATAAACATCAAACAAAACCAATTAAACGCATCAAAGTTTTTACATTAATTTTATTGCTTATCGTTGAATCTCTCCTCGCAAATTATTGCTTTTTAAATAAAAGTTTAAGTATAAATTGAGCATCTCTGATAGCCAGAACTGCCTTTGTTTGTTGCCGAGGGTTTGAACTCAGTCCTGCCAGGCAGTCACGTCTCGGTCTCTCGCCAGGAACTCGGGAAGTGGTTCACCCCCAGCGCTGACGTTGTGGCAGGGCAGTTTTTGTAAGAACACAATAGTTCTGGGGAGGAGTTGAGGGGTGAGGGGGGTGAGAGGAGAGTCATAAAGTTCGTGTATGTATATGTGTGTGTATGTGTGTGTGTGTGTGTGTGTGTGTGTGTGTGTGTGTGTGTGTGTGTGTGTGTGTGTGTGTGAGAGAGAGAGAGAGAGAGAGAGAGAGAGAGAGAGAGAGAGAGAGAGAGAGAGAGAGAGAGTGTGTGCGTGTTTAAGTGTGTATGTGTTTGAAAGAAAGAGCGAGAGACAGGGGCAGAGAGAGAGACAGAGAGAGAAACACACACACACACACACACACAGAGAGAGAGAGAGAGAGAGAGAGAGAGAGAGAGAGAGAGAGAGAGAGAGAGAGAGAGAGAGAGAGAGAGAGAGAGAGAGGCAGTCCCAAAGGTACAATGTCTGGCACATTACAAGGAACGAACCCACATCCTTTTGGTGGTGAGCCCAACAGCCTAACCAGTAGACCACTGACGCCACGATACGTGCTTGAAAATGTATACAACACTCACTCTGCCTGAGGCTGATTGAGTGCGCAAAGCCTCTCGAACTTAGTAATTTCATCTCGCTGACACCGAGCTGGATGGACTGTACAACACTGGTGTAGCAGTTGGGCTCTTCACCTTTACACACACACACAGACGCACACACACATTCACACACACACATACTCACACACACACACACACACACACTCTCTCTCTCTCTCTCTCTCTCTCTCTCTCTCACACACACACACACACACACACACACGCACACACACACACACACACACACACACACACACACACACACACACACACACATCTTATTTCGAATTCAGGATAGGGTAAGTATTTTGTCGAGTATTTCTCTTTGCCTGTTGGGAGGACGCTGAATCCCACACAACCTGATTCAGATCTGCAGAACTAGAAACATAATAATAGGAACAAACATACATGGTATACCTTTCTAAGGGAACAGACAAAGCGGTGCTAATAAACTCCGCTATGGCTTTATGCAATCGTGGGTTAGTGTCAGAGTGAAAACGTCCCACTGCTATCCCCATTACGGTAACCGTTGGCTCAGATGAATTGAAAGCTGTCATCTGCCTTCCCAAATCCAAGTCGATGATAATTTTCTGAGAAAACAATGTGGTAAAAAATAAAGAGGAAAATCATCCGAAAGGAATAATAAAAAAGAAAGGTAACATACTAAACATTTTAATGCCCAACGCAATATTTTGTGGTATTTGTGAGGAATTTGAGCAATCTGATTTTCAAGTTTATACGGTGTTGTTAATTAAGATCAGACAAACATTAATAATGGAAGCTTGGCATTATTTGTGTCATTTAAGCTGTAGGGAGGATTTTTAAAAAATGGAAATAAAATATTCATGTATAAAACCCTCTGACAAAGATAAGATATGATTCATCTTTATTGTCCAGATCCTGGCACATTGGTTTGATATTTCACCACGTACACACATACACTCATAAACACACACACACACACACACACACACACACACACACACACACACACACACACACACACACACACACACACACACAAATGCACACCCACGCAGTACGCTTACGTTTACAAACAGGCTTAAAGTCACATGCATAATAATATAAATGATCAGTAATATAAACAATAATAATGTTGCGCCAGATACATACTCAGTCTTCTGCTTGTAACTCAGAGGTATTCCTATGAAATCTCTTAAGTCATATGAATACTTAAAATTATATGATGAAGACGGAAGAAGTTTGAAGGATGATGATAAGAATGGCATTCTGTGTCTTTCTTTGTTACATATCAGAAGCCTAGGTCTTTTGCTTCTGGCTGATATTTTTATTTGAGGGAATTTAAAAGAGAAGAAAAGACAATGACTCACTTCCGTCACTAATAGATCTTTGAAGAAGTCATGACTTTTCTGCATGAAGTCATCGCTGACTGTCTTGACATTTGTCTTTACTGTTATTAGAGGCATCGTGAGCCTGAAAACACAGAGAAAACAGTTCACAACTCAAAGACAAAACAAAGTAAAAACAGAAGCAAAACAGGAAATCCAGTCATAATTTTTTTTTATCAAGGAGCTGAGAAAAAGACAAGGAAGAGCGTCAATTAAAATCACAGAACCCTGACTGCAGGGTATGCTGGACTACAATACAGATGCGCGTGGTGTTTAAGAGGAAATTCTCGCCCCAAGGTTCAACACCGCTCCAGAAACAGACAGTACTTCTTCATAGGAAGCCAAACTCTTTGACACTGACACTTGAACGTAATTACGTAGGTAGTACCGCTGAAGGTGATCAATCTACGTTAGAAGCGGGCACTAAATTTAACCAAACATATCTTTCAGAATTCCAGAAAGAGTCAAATGTGTACATGGCTAGTGCCCAGAAAAAAGGTTCGTTCAGAAGAAAGCTGATAAAACCCCTAATGAATAAAGGTACAAACACAAACGTTTGCAAACACGTAGAACGTACATCCAGATTTAATATATAACAATACCAATAAAATATGACAGCCACAAAGTTTCACGATATCTTCCAGATACCTCTAATTTCGAGTGAAGCACGTTCTGATCCGCTAATCAAATTGGCAATCAGGCGTCGACACTGCTCTGGGGAAATCTCTCTCGTACCCTCCGTGATGGTTTCTCACACGTCTTGGATAGTATCGAAGGTTTCCCCCCATATGCTCTGTCCTTAAAACACATTCGATATTGAAAGTCCGGTGGACTCAGGTCCGTATCATTTGGGGTCCACTTGTGCTCAGTCGTTTAAGATGAGCTGCTTATTGAGTAATCACGATGCAAAATTGCGTGAGCAAGCTCTTAGAAAAGGAGGTGGGGTACTCAATCGCAAAGGAGCTAGAAAAGGAAGTGGCACTTCCAGCGACTCTGGGTAGCTACAGAAGGGGGAAAGAAACGTTGATGAAAGCCGTTGTCCTAGCATCAGATGTTTATGATGGATTTGAAAGAGGCGAGGAGACTCTGATAGCAGCGCTTGACCTCGAGGATGCCAATATGTGCACTGTTGGAATCACTTCTGGACAACTGGAAGGCCCAGGGCGTGTGCTGAGCTTTGCAGATGTCACAGACAGGGTAAAGGACTGGCAAGAAGCAGTAAACGCGGTGCGACAGGAGCTGAATCAGATTTAGTAATGGTGTGTAGACCACAACGGCAAACTCCACCCCGACGAGGCCTGTGTGCTGTGGTGCTCTCTGAAAAATCACGCAGTGAAAGTAGAGACGATCACAGTCAACGACAGGGTCCTGAAGAGTGAGCATTCACTGAGGTATCTAGGTATCACCTTAGACAGATCACTCTCAGATAAAGATCATCACAAGAGCACTGAAAAACATGCCACAGAGGATTTTAGTTATACTATACCAGACTCTCGTGCTGCCTGTGACAGACTATGGCCTCAGTCTCCTCACCTTGTCAAGGCTGCTTCTGAAACGCCTTGAAAACATTATACAGAATGGAGGTATGCACACTGTTCTCGGGTGCACACTGGATGCATACTGCGAGGCTATGCGTTATCGATCTCCTGGATCTCCAAGACATGGCAGGACGTAGCAAGATTGCTCAGTTGAAGCGTATTTCAGAGAACTGTACGCACACGTCTGCTTTGAGGGATTGAATGGATGAATGAGGCAGTGACGACTTTTGCTAAATGCTGTGAAGTGCAAGACATCCGAAAAGGCAGTGCATGGGTCAGCGTCAATAATACACTTGGGCAGTATACTCGAGTGGTAGCAACCTCAGGCAGAGAATGTCGTGAGTGGCCGAATGGAGCAGCCGATGCCAATAAAGAGACGCTGATAGAGGAGAACAGTGAACAGGGCGACGTAGTCATCTTCACAGATGGATCAGTACAGCGTGGTGTCAAATCTGGATGGGCTTTCAGCGCCCGTGTGATCGGGGTCATACAGAAAGAGCTGTCAGGTGCCACTAGTATAATCACGTTCAGCATGTGTATGGAGATGAAAGCCATCATAGAAGCCCTTAACTGGATTAAGGCGATGGAGTATTAGTCTGCCATCCTCGTAACCGACTTGGTGAGTACCCTTGGAAAAGTGAAGAAACACATGATGTATGCAGACTGCGAGAGGCATTACAAAGCAGCAGACTCACAAGGATTGCATGAATCTTTAACCCTGATCGTACAGGAGCTCAAGGCAATGAACGTGCTGATAAGCTAGCCGCTTTGCTGAGATTGGCGGCACCATGCAATTAGAATCACTAACAGTCATGGCAGCATTGACAGCATGGTTCAACGACCACAGAAAGGATGAAGGCACAACATCACACACAATGGAAAGACTAAGGGAAGCTCATGTCTCTAGAGGCTTGGGGAGAGACAGCAACCTGCGTGGAAATGCTTGAAGAATATCCAACCAGCTGATAACTTGCACGATCAGCAAGCAGACCATTTCATGGATCCTGGAAAGGAGGAAGGAGCAGCTATGGCATTGTGCCGCCTGTTGTGGTGCCTATTCTCCAGCCAAGTAAGTTAAGTCAGTCGGACTGACTGTTCTGAAACCAAAATGGTTGCTGATCCATCGCCGAACAGCTCTGACGTCATTAGGAGCAGCCCCCATCTTGCTGAAAGTTCTGGTTCTGTCTCCCTACATTATCAACAATAGTCCCAAGCTCCCTCAGAACTCTGATAAGATGACGAGGTGTCGGTCAGAGTTTACCAAATCACGGACCACCTTAACCTTTTCAAGAGTGCCTTGTTTTTACAGTCTGCTAACCGTGTGTTACTCAAGGCTTGGAATTGAGTTCTTAGCTTCTATGGACTCAAACCTTTCAAAATTTGTAACACATTTCAAAATGGACCTTTAGCTTGAAACATTTTGTTTGTTACAGATGTATATCCTCTATGCCCGCGAAAATAATGCACAGATGGATTTGAGAGATTCCTTTTGCTGATACATATTCACCGCAAAATCATGATGTATTGGGGTGAAATATTTTATTATCTTTCCGTTGTGCATCAGTAAATTTTATAAAAAGCGTACTCCGGATGTATGATCTAGCCTTCGGTTAATTTTGAAGTCAGTTTGGTCATATCCAAGAAAGCTATCTATCTATCTATCTATCTATCTATCTATCTATCTATCTATCTATCTATCTA